GCCTACATATATGCTTGCAGGTCAGAAGAGGGCATTAGATGGTTGTGAGCCACCATGTGGTTGCTGGGAATTGAACTCAGGACCTCTGGAAGAGCAGCCAGTGCCCTTAACCACTGAGCCATCTCTCCAGCCCTCCCCCACCTTTTTTAAAATTTTTTTTTTTTTTGAGACAGGGTTTCTCTGTGTAGCTTTGGAGCCTGTCCTGGATCTCACTCTGTAGACCTGGCTAGCCTCCAACTCACAGAGATCCTCCAGCCTCTGCCTCCCAAGTGCTGGGATTAAAGGCATGTGCTATCACTGCCCTCAAGTTTTTATTTATTTATTTATTTATTTATTTATTTATTTATTTATTTATTTATTTATGCATTTGTTTATTTTTGTTTATTTATTTGTTTTTTTGAGACAGGGTTTCTCTGTGTAGCTTTGGAGCCTTTCCTGGAACTCTATTTGTAGATCAGGCTGGCCTGGAACTCACAGAGATCCCCCTGGCTCTGCCTCCTGAGTGCTGGGATTAAAAGCATGCACCACCACTGCCCAGAATTATTTATTTTTTGAGACAGGGTTTCTCTGTGTAGCCCTGACCTTCCTGGAACTCACTCTGTAGACCTGGTTGACCTCAAGCTCAGAGATCCTCCTGCCTCTGCTTCCTGAGTACTGAGATTAAAGATGTGCACCACCACCACCTGGCTTAATAATAAAAATTCAAAATGAACTTTAAGATTTAAAATTACACTTACATATTTGTGTGTGTGCATGTATGGGTGTGGGCCGGGGTTGGAGTGTGGAGGTCAGAGGACAACCTGTGGGAACTGAGTCTCTCCTCACCGTCTGATTGTAGATTCACCTTGGAAGCAACATCTTATCCCTCTGCTGGGCTGTTTGTTGAGGGCATGCGCACTGACAGGGCTCTTCCTGAGCTATGTGAGGTGGGCTGCCCCCTCAGGGAAGCAGGTGCATAAATAAACTGGACTTCAGAGAGGTCGAACTGGAGGCCTGTGTGGGGCTCATGGGGCAGAGGGAAGCCGGGGGGTGGGGGGGGGCGTGGGGGGGTGGGGGGGTGGGAGGGTGGGACTGAGCTCTGGGGGAGGGTGGGACTGAGCTCTGGCGTTTGGAGCCAGGGGAGGAGAGGCCTCCAGGAAGGTAGAAATCGGAGCAGATGTGTTGGTGTCCATGAGCCAAGAGAGACACCTGTTGGCAGGAGAGGGGGTATCTACCTGTCACGGGCCATCGGAGAGAGATGTCGGGGTCAGACAAGGAGGGGTCACCCTAACAGAAGCAGCTGGACCAGAGGGTAATAGAGTGGAGAGCAGGAAGCCGGGAGTAAGGGCAACCGTGCCTTTGGGGGTTTGGGCATTCTTAGGAGCTCAGCTTTGTGTACGGGGCCTTAGAGCCCCCTACACCAAGCACCTCCTTTCTTCTCTTAAAAACCTAAAAATATGTATTTATCGTTGCTCTTACTGTGTCTCTGTGTGTGCCGGTGCACGGGTGCCCTGGTGTGCATGGGGACATCAGAGAACAGCTTTCAGGATGAGGCTCTCTCCTTCCACTGTGGGTGGCTTCCAGGCTCCGGCAGCAAATGCCTGCAGACTGTGGAGCCGTCTCGCCAGCTCCCCAGCCCAGCCCACGTTTTATTTTTTATTTTGTGATAGAGTTTCAAGGACGTCCTGGGGTTGGTCTTGAATTTTCACTCTAACCCAGGCGGGTCTGGAACTTTTTGATCTTCCTGCCTCAGTCTCCTCAGCAGGTGGGATGGCCCAGCTTAAGTATCTCTTAGTTGAGCTTATTCCTGGAACTTCCCTTGCTTTGTCTCTTTGGCATACAGGTTCCCCAGTTCCTAGTTCAGCCAAAGACACTAGGGTAGGGGATTAGATTCCGTTGCGGGTTTCAACCCTGCTTGGAGATTCTGGTTTTGGCCAACCACAGTAACTGGAAACTTGTCACCGACTGCCATCTCGTGGTGGTTCGAAGAACTGCCCTGGGTCCAAATTCATTTCTTGTAGCTCGCTGGGAAGAGGGGCTGGAATTATTAGACCGCTGACTGTTCTGGGTTCAGTGAGTCACCAGCTGTCAGGCTGCCCAGGGTTGGGGAGGGGGAGTGTGGTCCAAACAGACCGTGATGGGGTCTGGGAAAATGGCTGGGTGGGTAAGAGCTACACAAGCATGTGAACCAGAGTTAAGATCATAGCATCCAGTCCGGAGGACGGTGCGCACCTGCAATACCAGTACTGGGGTTGGAGACAGGAAGCTTTGCTGGCCAGTAGCTTAGCCAAGAAACAGCAAGCTCCAGATCCACTGAGAGACCTGTACTGAGGGAATGAAAAGGAGAGTGACCATTGACGCCTTCCTCTGCCTCTGGTCTCCATGTGTGCCCCCCCCCCTCCCCGGTGACTAACAGTTCTCCTTCACTCCCAAAGGTTTATTTTATTTTTTGAGACAGGGTTTCATTATGCAGACCAGAACTCTCTCTGTAGAGCAAGTTAGCTTCCAACTCACAAAGATTGACCAGCCTCAGCCTCCCAAGTGCTGGGACAGAGGATGAACCCCACCGTACCCAGCTTCTAGCTTTTCCATCCCCCCACCCCCACCAATACATGGTCTCAAGCAGCCCAGGCTGGCTTGAGATGTGATATGTAGATGAGGATGACCTTGAACTCCTGATCCCCCTGCCTCCTATTGCCAATTGTGATTCCAGACTGATAGCACCACCATCCTGCGTTTAGCGGATCAGGGAGGTATTGGGAAGAATATAAGGGCGTGTTTTAGAAAGGTGACCCTATTGCCCCACTCTGCATTAGGGCTGCTGCGTGCTAGGAGTTCAGAAGTGCGTGGAAGGTACTGGAGAGGATGTGCCGCATCTTCTTCCTGTTTTTGTTCTGTGGCCTGGACACATCCCTCCCTCCTGCCTTTGTGTAACCACACTGTTAGAACAGTGGTGTAAGGCTCTAACATGTCACTGCGACGTAAAACATGCCAAGAAAGTGGCTCTTCGCTGACCGCAGGTGCTCACCAGCTCTCAGCAGTCAGCTTTGAAATCAGGGCTCTTTAGGGGCCCGGAGAGATGGCTCGGGTGGTTAAGGGCATGTACTGTTCTTGCAGGGGACCTGAGTTTGGTTCCTAGCACCCCACCCTGGTGGTTCACAACCACCTGTAACTCAGCTCCAGAGGACCCAGTGGCCTCTTCTGGCCTTCCTGGGAACTTGTACTCATGTATGCATACCCGCATCCTCATACACACACTGACACAGGATTAAAAGCTGGTGCTATGTAATGAGACCCTGATTCAATTCAATTAATCTTTTTTTTTTTTTTTAAATAACTCTTTGGGCTAGGGATGAACTCAGTAGAGTGCTTTTCTTTCTTTTTTCTTTAATGATTATTTATTTTTATTTTATGTGCGATGGTGTTTGACCTGCATGTATGTCCGTGTGAATGTGTTGGATCCTCTGGAACTGGAGTTACAGACAGGTGTGAGCTGCCATGTGGGTGCTAGGAACTGAACCTGGGTCCTCTGGAAGGGCAGCCAGTGTTCTTAACCACTGAGCCATCTTTTCAACCCCGTAGAGTGCTTCTCTAGCATGAATAAAACCCTGTTTAATCCCCAGCACTGTATAAATGGGATATGATGTTTGCTGTCCATCTTTAATCTCAGCCTCCAGAGGGCGGAAGATCAGAAAGTCTGGGTCATCCTCAGCTAATAGAGAGTTGGAGGCCAACCTGGGATAAAATATCTAGGGATAAAAAGCCTGGGGAACGGCACAGTGGGTAAAGTGTGAAGACCTGCATGCGACTCCACAGAACCCACAGAAAAGCCAGGCCTGTAGCGCACACACATCTGTAATAACATCTGTCATCCCAGCGCTCTTACAGTAAGGTGAGAGGTGGAGATGGGAGAATCCTGGAAGCCCACAGGCCAGCTCACCTGGGGATGAGGTGCATCAAGGAAGCTGAGACCTCATCTCAAACAGGGGGAAGGTGAGGACCTACCTCCACATGCAAGGCACCTGTGGGTCTGCACTCACATGTATGAACACGCACATCCACAGAAACACACAAAGTCCGAAACAAGGGCAGCGAGAGGGGAAGGAGTGGACCGGTGGTTAGGAGAGGAAACTGCTCCTCAGAAGACCTAATTTTGGTTCCCAGCACCCATGCTGGGCAGCCCACAACTGCCTGAAGCTCCAGCTCCAGGGGGTCCAGGGTCTCTGGCCTCTGGGGGCACCTGTACCTACAGATGTACACCCCCATGCAGACGCATATGCATATACATAATTAAAACAACAAGATGGGGCTGGAGAGACGGCTCAGTGGTTAAGAGCACTGGCTGCTCTTCCAGAGGACCTGGGTTCAGTTCCCAGCAACCACATGGCAGATCACAACCACCTGAAAGGCCAGCTCCAGGGGATCCTGTGCCTCTGACCTCTGGGTATCTGCACTGATATTCATATAATCTCTCTCTCTCTCTCTCTCCCTCTCTCCCTCTCTCTCTCTCTCCTTCTCCCTCTCCCTCTCCCTCTCCCTCTCCCTCTCCCTCTCTCTCTCTCTCTCTCTCTCTCTCTCTCTCTCTCTCTCTCTCATATACACACTCATCATTTTAAAATAAATCTTTTAAAAAAAATGGCTGGGTGTGGTGGCACACGCTTATAATCCTTGAGAGGCAGAGACAGGAAAATCTCTGAGTTTGAGGCCAGCCTGGTGTACATGTTGAGTTACAGGGCTACATAACAAGACCCTGCCTCGAAAAAAAAAAAAAAAGGAAAAAAAAAATGATAAAAATGAAATATCGTTTGGAAAGAGTTAACAAACAGGTACCCACAAGATAGTCCACACAAAGCTAACACACATACACATGTATCATGAAGTAACCAACGACAGAACAGGCTGCATCCCTGCCGCTCCCATGCACGTTAACTCAAAAACTCTGAAGAGGCAAGTTGATTGGACAGATCGGAGGCCAGGAAGGGAGGGCCCCCCGCCGTAGGGGAGCACCGCCCCACTTCGGTTCAGTTTGTTTTGCGGTACAAAGGTGGCCACGAGTCCATCGTACTGATGGAGGAGCATTTGCGGCGGCCGGCCAAGGTCACGGTCTTGGGGTCCTTGCAGAGCCTGTAACTGTGCCTGATGATGAAGGGCAGAGGGGTGAAGTGCAGGAGCATGCGGGAGATTTGCAGCAGCAGGTACAGGTAGCCGAGGTCCTTGAACTGATCCTTGATGCTGCCGTGGATGAGCACGACCATGGTGAAGCTGAAGAGCTCATAAGCGATGATCCACAGGGTGTAGATGATCAGCCCGATGAACATGTTCTTGTCCAGGCAGAAGAGGAAGAAGCAGCTAACGATGATGGTGATAATGGACAGGCCCGTGCTGATGTCGTGCCTGTAGACCACGGCCCAGGATGAGACCTTAGAATCTGTGTCCAGGTAGATGCTGTATTTGTCTTGGAAGCCGATGTGTGTTACCTGATTCAGCTCAAAGATGAAGAACTGGATGGTATTGAGGATAGAGAAGATGCCCGCCATCACGGCTATCATCCTGGTGTTCATTTATCCTGGACTCAGCAGGGTAAGTCCTGAAGGAGAAAATCAGGGATAAACATAAGAGGCGGGGGTTGGGGATATAGCTCAGTGGTAGAGCGCTGGCCTAGCAAGCGCAAGGCCCTGGTTTTGGTCCTCAGCTCTGGAAAAACACAAAAACAAAAACAAAAGAAAACAAAAAAACCTAAGAGGCAGAGCCAGCCCAAGACCAATTCCCCAAATCACTAGGCATAACTTGGGGATCGAGGAGCAAAGATGATCTGTAGACAGATTTTTCTTTGGGCTGCCAGCTCACAAAAAATGACACAGAGACTTATTATTAACTATGAAAGCTTGGCCTATAGCTTAGGCTTGTCCCACCAGCTCTTATAACTTAACCCATTTATATGAATCTATGTTTTGCCTCAGGCTTTTTATCTCTCTTTCATCTTGCACCTCCTGCTTCCTCTCTGTGTCCTCTGGCTTATCTGTCCCGCACCTAGACTCATATCCTCTTCTTCTCTCTTTACCCGGAAGTCTTGTCTAACTTCCTCCTGCCTAGCTATTGATCATTCAGCTCTGTGTTAAACCAGTGAGAAGGCGCCTTGGCAAAGACACACCTTCACAGTACAAAAAGGTTATTCCGGGGCTGGAGAGATGGCTCAGAGGTTAAGAGCACTGACTGCTCTTCCAGAGGTCCTGAGTTCAATTCCCAGCAACCACATGGTGGCTCACAACCACCTAATGAGATCTGGCTCCCTCTTCTAGTCATACATGCTGTATACCTAATAAACAAATAAATCTTAAAAAAAAAAAAAACCCAAAAAACAGAAAGGTTATTCCACAACAATGATCCATGGAAAGGCAGTGGGCCAAGAGTCTGAGCTGTAGTCTAGCCTAAATAGCTGGAACCTCATTGTTGGGACACGGAAATGCCATTGGCTGGAGGGGGGGGGGATCTTTAAGTAGCTTCCAACTCTGTCTCCATGCCCTCGTCTCTGTAAGGTGATGGACAGTTCTGTAGGGTGGGAAGATAAGGGGTTGGCTGTGTGGTGATCCTTCTGTACTCTGTGAATATGCATCACTCTCATTGTTTTAATAAAAAAGCTGATTGGCCTATAGCAAGGCAGAGTAAAGTTAGGTGGGACAATCAAACTGAGGCCTGGGATGAAGAAGGGTAGAGTCAAGGGAGTGGTACCAGCGAGACACCAGGGAAGCAAGGTGCGGGGAGACAGGTAAAGCCATTAGCCACGTGGCAATACATACATTAATAGATATAGGTTAATTTAATTGTAAGAAGTAGTAATAAGCCTGAGCTATTGACTGAGCATTTATAACTAGTATAAGCTTCTGAGTGGTTATTTGGGAACTGGCGGGTGGGACATCAAACGTCCATTCTCAGCCTGGGTTACAGGAGACCCTGCCTCAAAACAAAATAAAAAAATAACAGGGCTCATCCGTTAGGGGCTTGTGTGGTCTTATAGAGGAGCAAAGCTCAGTTACCTGTAAGTCTAGCTCCAGGGCGTCCATCTTAATTTCTTTTCTACTGCTGTGATAAGATGCCATGACCAAAGCCACTTACAGAGGAGTTTATTTGGGGCTTCCAGTATCTGAGGGGGAGTCCATGACCATCCTGTCATATCGGTAGGCAGGAAAGCCTGAGCAGTAACTGAGAGCTTACATCTAATCCACAAGCATGAGGCAGAGTTTACTGGGAATGGTATCCGTCTCTAGTGATGTACTGTCTTAGTTAGGGTGTCTATTGCTGTGCAGAGACACTATGACCATGGCAACTCATAAAGAAAAACATTTAATTGGAGTGGCCCTCTTATAGTTTCAGAGAGTCAGACCGTCATCATCATGACGGGGAGCATGGCGGCATGCAATCAGACATGGTGCTGGCTACATCTTCATCAGAAGGCAACAGGAAATCAACTATGGCACTGGGAGTGGCTTGAGCATAGGAGAACTCAAAGCCCGCCCCCACAGTGACACACTTCCTCTAACAAGGCCACACCTCCTAATAGTGCCGCTCCCTTTGGGGGCCATTTTCTTTTATACCACCACAGTATCTTATCCAACAAGGCCGTATGTGGGGATGTATGGGCTCATACGTTTGAAGAGTTGCTCCCTAGTTCGTGGAACTGTTTGGAAAAGATTAAGAGATGTGGGCTCCATGCCCAGCGCTACATAATCGTGCTGTGGCGGCACACATTGGTAACCCTAGCACCGACTAGGTAGACACAGGGAGATCTTAAGTTGAAGGCCGTTCTTTATTATACAGCAAGTTTGAGGCTGGTCTGAGAGACATGAAACCCTGTCATTCCCCAGAAGGGAGCCTGGTACCCACTTCACTTCATTCCACCGTGACTCCAGTTACAACGTCATTGTTTTTGAGATAGGGTTCCTCTATGTAACAGCCCTAGCTGTCCTGGGACTCGATTTGAAGACTAGGCTGGCTTCCAACTCAGAGATCTACCCGCTTCTACCTCTCAAATGCTGGGATTAAAGGCATGCGCCACCAAGCCTGGCTGTTTTTTTGTTCTTGTTTGTTTTTGAAGGTTTATTTTTAGTCGTGAGTATGCGTGGGGGACAGGATACGGGCACCAGAGTGCAGGTGCACACGGCGGTCCGAGCATTGGATCTTGTGGTAGTTTGGATGAGAACGGCTCCCATGTTTGAACTGGGCCTCTGTTGGTGGAACTGTCTGGAAAGGATTATGCAGTATCTTAAGTTACTTTTCTATTTCTGTGATGAGACATCATGACCAAGGCAACTTGTAGAAGAAAGAGTTAGTTTATTGGGGCTTACAGTTTCCGAGGCTTGGTTAGAACCCATGACTTTGTGCACACTCGACAGCACTCAAGCAGCTGAGCACAGACCCAGCTCTGAATTTTCTCCTTTCTTTGTAATTTTGTTCATTTATTCTTTGTTCTCTTTTTCTCTTCTTTTTTCAAGACAGGGTTTCTCTGTATAACTCTGGCTGTCCTGGATCTCGCTCTGTAGACCACGGTGGCCTCGAAATCAGAGATTCGCCTGGCTCTGCCTCCCAAGTGCTGGGATTAAAGCTGTGTGCCACCACCGCCCGGCCTTACATTCTTTTAATGATATGGATGTGTCTGTCTTCATGTGGGTGTTGTAAACTGAACTCTCTACATGCCTATCCTATGAATGTGACGACCAGGCTAACCAAACTCAGAGGGTTGTCACACTGGCTGGTGACTGACGGCCAGAAGACAGGCGAAGTCAGTAACTAGCAAGGCCGAAGACAGAGCTGGACAGAGGGGGGCTTTCAACCACCCCTGACCGGGTGGGCAGCAAGGGAAGAGCATGCGGTCATCTCCCGGGTTGGGTCAGGGACAAACACATGAAGAGTTCCTGCTTCCCATAGGCTTAGCCCATGATAGCCAATTAACCGGTCTCAATGGAGGTTCCTTCAACCTTTGTTCTGTTTCTGGCATGGCCTTATACCCCCAACACACACACACACACACACACACACACACACACACACACACACACACACACACAGACACGCACGCACGCACGCACGCACGCATGCGCACATGCACGCATGTGCACATGCACGCACACTCCAGCAGGTTTAATGTCTTCTTCCTCCATTAGAAGCCCCTTCCAACGCTCAGGAGTTCCCTCCTGTTTTCCTCAATTTTAACCTATTTTATTTAATATTCAATCTATTTTAACCTATTTTGCTTTATGCGTGTGGGTGTTCTTTCTGCATGTGTGTCTGTGTACCGTGTGCACGCCTGGTGCCTGTGGAGGCAGGAGAGGGCAGCAAATCCCCTGGAACTAGAGTTGTAGTTGACTGTGGGTGTCCATGTGGGTGCTGCAGATCCAACCTGGGTTCCCCACGAGAGCGGCGAGGGCTCCCCGCACTTCCCGTCTCTGTGCCTTCTCCTGGCCCTGGAGAAGAGCTCTCTCTTTGTTCTTCCTTTCTTTCTTTTTTCTTTTCTTTTCTTTTTTTTTTTTTTTTTTTTTGGTTTTTCGAGACAGGGTTTCTCTGTGTAGCTTTGGAGCCCGTCCTGGAACTCACTCTGTAGACCAGGCTGGCCTCGAACTCACAGAGATCCGCCTGGCTCTGCCTCCCAAGTGCTGGGGTTAAAGGCGTGCGCCACTACCACCTGGCTTCTTTCTTTTTTCTTTCTCTCTTCCTTCCTTCCTTTTTTCTTTCTTTTTTTAGACATGGTCTCATGTATCCCAGGCTAACCTCGAACTTGCTATGTAGCTATGGATGATCTTGAACTTTTTTTTCTTTGTTTTTGGTTTTTCAAGACAGGGTTTCTCTGCGTAGCTTTGGTGCCTGTCCTGAAACTCTCTGTAGACCAGGCTGGCCTTGAACTCACAGAGATCCACCTGCGTCTGCCTCCCCAATGTTGGCGTTGAAGGTGTGTGCCACCACCGCTGCCTGGATGATCTCGAACTTCTGATCCCCCTGCCTCCATTGTACTGGGGCTAATCAAGGGGAAGTCAGTCTTCTTGCTCAGGGTAAAGATGCTTCAACAGGCCATCCTGGATTACCTTCTTACCAGTCCAAAGACTGGAGGCAGACCTCTGTCCTCTTGGCTCAGCACACAGACATGAACTCCAAGTGAGAGAAGGAAGGGGTGGATAATCACTCACAGGGAAACTTGCCTGCACTCGGACTGCTAGATTTTATTTATTTCATTGTTATTATTGAGACAGTCTCACCGTAGCCCAGGCTGGTCTAGAATTAGAAGCAAGCATCATACACACAATTAAAAAGCCACACTTCATGGCATCCAGTAGCTTCCATTCTGAGCTGAGGTGTCCTAGTAGTGTTTGCTGGTGCTTCCTGGTGTGATGGCACTTAGCACTGGTGTTCAGAACCCAGGCTGCAGCGAAGTCACGTGATACAACAGGCAGGCACCGCCAGAAACACTTTGGATTCATTACATGTTTGATTTTGAATTGATTTTTGGTAGCAATGCGTTCAGAAACATGTAATGGCTCCACGTGGGTGTTACATAACTGATGTACTGTTGCCA